CCCCAAAACCCCAAAACCCCGTATAGAATTGGATCTAGTTTAAGTTTAAATTGGAGATTGATAATAAAAATAATCAAATTTATATTAAACTAATACTCAGACGTTATTAGTAAAAATCAAGGATAAATATTCTGAATATTCTAGGTGATTTAGATATCGATTAGTTACTAATATGACTTGTTATTATTCACCTTACTATAGGAAGTCTTGTCACTCAATTACTTATATTATACAAAGCTCATACATCTTCTTGTTAATACTATCTTGGTTTGAGTTAACTTTAATCCTTTTCAATCAATTTATTAAGTTTGTAGATTGTAAACCTATAATAAAGCATCCCCAAAACCTTGATGCCTTAATAGCTAATCAGAAAGTAGGCAATAATAAATAGGGAGCTTTCTTTTCCACTTCTATTGAAATAAATCAAAATATATCCAGCTAAAATATTAGATAGCATCCAAATGGCAAACGTAATTAATCTGGATCTTTTATATTCCTTTTTCTTCTCAAAATCACTCTTTCCTTATTTGTCTTTATTCTAAACTTAGCTCTGATACTTCATTAAGTCCTTATCCTTACTGGCACTTCTATTCCCCCATGAAACATCATGAAGGTTTGAATAAGAATATATTTAAAATATAATCAGATAAACTGGTATCATAGTTAGATATAGCAAAAGTGATCCGAAGTAAAGTGGAAAATTTTTACAAAACTTTATGCCATCAAATATTAGCATTGGCAAGACAAATGTAAGAATAAAAATAATTCCTAGCAAAATGCTCATTTCAGCTTAGAAAAATTCTCTCAAGCCACTTATTATCACAAATCCATAAGTTAGAAAGAAAAAACAACTTATTATTTTTAAAATGATAGCTATTATTTTCTCATTAATGTGCTTACCCATACCAAAAGATATAATAACAACTAATTAAAACATTATGAGTAAAATATTTTCAATCATATTTGAAAATCTAAAAGGATCTAATCCATTGCTAGAATCAAAGGTATATCTTAAAAGTGATGAGACTTAACCATAAAATAATCCAGAAGCTATAAAGCCAAATAAATTTTGAAGAGCCATTAATACAAAGTTTAAGAGAAACAATAATTTTCTACATCTACTGTGGGATGAGTTACTAAACTTCCCATAATTTGCAAACATATGAAGGAAAGTTGCATTTGCACCATTAATCCATCTTCTTCTCTGAGCAATCAGTATAGAAAATAATTCAGGTGGGTCTGTTAGTGCCACAGCTTCTGGCAAGTAGATAAGGTCATACTTTGCTTCTTTTCCTTAGATATTGTTCTAAGCTACAATTTCAAAGCACATAATTCTATCCTCAGCAAGAAACATATTTAGCTCACTCAAGCCTAGCCTTTACTTATCTAATCCTTTGAAAAAGGATTCAAGAGGCTTGCCCTTAATAGCTTCCCATCTGAAGATTGAAAATGCACCAGGAAGTACACTTTGGTAGCCAAAGCACCCCTCAAATGATTTGTCTAAGAAATGAGAAATTTTGTATTCAAAAAATTAGACACAGGATAATACAGAGAATTAAGGCATTTCAACTTCAATCTCACCACATGCACCTCCAATGTTTTTCCCATAGTCAAGAAGTCTTACCAACTTACTAATAGACCCTGAAAGTGCTTAGGTACCAATATCAAGTAAGAATACTTAATCAGGATTTAGAAATTCACAGAAACCTCTGTAAAAATATAGATGAGAATCAATTTTTAGATTGTTGAATTGCTTAATGGCAAACACGAAATTAACAGTATTCAGCATAAAATTTTCCAGATCTACATCGAGTTTCGAAGCAAACAATTTAAGAGGAATGCAAGATTGAAAGCAGTGAATCAAATTAAGGATTGGGGTATTGTGTTTATACCTATCATCCTCGTACTCTAACTTAATGCTTGCTACATTATTCTATTTAATGTCAAAGAGTGTCATTGGTTCTTCTTTCAACACCTATTTATCTTCCTTTTTAATAAATGGTGCTATAGCTGAGGCATCAAAAATACCTAATTCAGTAGCTTTATCTTTGAAATCTTAACTCAAGTTTATATAGCCATCAGCTACTAGCACAATGATGACTCGATTTTTGAATTCTTCCCAGCTTATATTGGTGTTTATCTTAACCATATCAAGATAGATTTCTAATAAACCTTGGAATACTCCTAAGATAGTCCTTTGGAATAATGACCAACTCTCATTGTACATAGTAATTCCGATGGCTAACTTTATTCCGTCAGGATTTTTCTGCTTGATTTGACTAAGTAAACTCTTCTGCCAAATCTTTCTTTGACCAGATTTACCCCCAATTCCAACAAATTTAAGGTCAAATGTCTTTACAGGATCAGTTGGGTCTTGAGATTTTTCAGAGTAATCAAAAAGCTTCAGAGTTTAATAGGTTAAGTTAGTTGACAATTTTTTTCTTGTGCAATCAGATTGACGTTTTTCATTGCTTGAAACAATTAAGCTAGCTTCGCTTAAACTGTGGCTATGTCTTTTTATAGCCCTTCTTTGAATTTTAATTTAGTTTAATCTAATTGATGATTCGTCATGTCTAAGTCTCTTGTATATAGGTGTTCTTCTCATTAATGGTTTTAATTCAAAATTAGTTATAATTCTTTTTTAATTAGTAATTATAAAAATGAATTAATTGAAGAATAAATCATTTATTCAACGAATTAGGTTTATTTAATCATATGGGGTTTTGGGGTTTTGGGG